AAGCTCGAGTATTTCATGTTAATATTTTTAACTTAAACTCTACTTTGACGTTATCTGGACCAGTAGCCTTCTTAGAGTGACTTCCCGGGTTGTAATAAAAAAAATATTACTGAGATTGTGCTCAGTGAAACGGAGTAAGTCGGAAAGTGGGTGACCTTTGTGATTTAACCTTTTAACGAGGCAAAGATCGTAGCGAAGACCTTCATATATTTGAAGAAGATGAGATGACCTCGGGGTCATTTATAATAGTAGACAATGGCGCTTTGTCTTTATTAAGTTGCACTTCTTCCTGAACTCCCGGGAACCAATTTGCTTACTTTCAACCTTGGCCTGGGCTGCTTGTGCATAGCTATAATTTTCATTTTATAGAATGTTCTTGCAATAATTCCAAGTAATTCTGAATGCACCCTTTCCTTTGGTAGATATTGTAGTTACAGTAAGCTATGGCTGCAGCGCATTCAAGGGTGAACCAGAGGTAGCTGTTCGTTTTTTGTTGGAAATTTTTTCTGGGCTATAAAACTCACCATTGCAGACAGGATTCATTCCAAGATAAAGGTTCCAAGATTTGGAGGAGTATGTTTGAAGAATGCTGAGAGCGGAACTTTCGCCATATAATAGCTAAAGCTGTCCCGGTCGTTTTTCGTCTACCGAAAAATCGTTCTATGCAATGGTACCTCAGGGTATGCCTTTGGTTTAGTGTCAAATTTGATACTGACTAATTAAAGATCATGAATGCCCTTTAAATATCCTATTGCATCAGGATAGGTTCTTCGATTATCTGTGTTAGTTCATAAGCAACGGAAAAAATTCTGCAATATCTACCTTCCTCATCAGTTTTGTTCGACTAAACTAACCATTCTTTATGGTAAATATTGAAGTCACCAGAAATATGAAAGCTAGCTGAGTGAGAATTTTGTCAATCGTCTCAGAATATTCAGTCGAACATTACCGTTCCATTTGTTATAGAGTGGTTTCACAGTGGAGGCTTGTATTTGTACTAAGTCGGTCCTAAAATAGGTTCGACGTACAAAACGTTAGGAACTTGATATAATAGGTAATGACGCAGAGAAATCTAGTCGTGGTCGCTGATACTTTAGTATCTGATTAACGGTCGTCCGGCATCGACTGGCTGACCAACTCACTGAGCGACTTCTTACTCTTACTACTTCTACTTATTATAGGTGGGAGAGTCTATTAACTATAGAATAGGTGTGTTCCACTATAACACCATTATCCCAAGGATGATACAGTGTGAAAATGAAACTGGTACAGTAGATAAGTGCCACGAGGAAGCACTTATACGGGAGATCAGGGTTTTCGTTTTTAGGGGTCTCTATCACACTAGAACTTGTCCTTAACCCTTTGATCCCTGTGTTCCCGGACAACTTTAACCCTTCTGCCTGAGCTCTTGAGTCAAAATTTGCAAATAATTGGTATGTAATGTTTCATGGTAGATATAAAAATAGTCCCTGGTCGCTTTCCTGGCGGTTCAGGTTGATACTCTACACGATTCACGGTAAAAATTATCTTTTTTTTCATCCAAAGCACATGCACAAAACCCTAAAACACACCAAAACCGAAAAAATGTTTACAGGAAGCACCCTTAATTAAGAAACAGATAATCCAGGGAAGAACATATAGACGTGATACACCGGGTGAACAGGTCTCGTCTACCCATAAATCCCTGTTGTAGTTGGAGCCCTAGGACTGGTTGGAAAAGATTGCAGTAGACTAATTGAACGGATTCCTGGAAGCCCATGCCTTAAAGAAATACAAAAGATTGTCCTCACGAGTACAGCCCACATCTTACGAAGGGCTTCATCTATATAAAATATTTGTATTTGTGTGTGTGTGTGTGTGCGTGCGTGCGTGCGTGTGTGTGTGTGTGTGTGTGTGTGTGTGTGTGTGTGTGTGTGTGTGTGTGTGTGTGTGTGTCAGTGGAAAATGTCATGATGGCATTTTTAACCTTAGGTCTTTGGACGGGACCCGGAATGAAATGTGTCCACACCAGAAATCAAAGGAAATAAAATAATAATAATAATAAAAACAACTTATATTGTTCAAATTTCTCCTGAGAGAATAAAACTGAACGGATACAACTCCTAGAGCAAGGAGGAATAATACTACAAACAGTAGTTATACTAATCAAATAATATAATTTTATAGGTAGAGAGATAGATCTAATCACTTAGTGGATAGATTATTAAAAAGCAAAGAGAAAGTGGAGGAACTATTAACAAAAATCAGAGAGAGAAAGAGAGAGACCTAACTACTTTCATAAATGTATCTTTTTTCGAGCGACAAATTTTTCGCGTACACTTGACTGACACTGGTTTTTTTTTTTTTTTTTTTTCAATTGGCTCTTGCTCTTCGAGGTCTACTATGATTTATTATCAGATAAGTGTAATTCTTAGCTCTCTCTATAGATCTTGAATTTCGGGGTTATTACAAACAGAAGTTGACTACTCAGAAGCTAGCCCAGTCTCTTTCGTATCATCACCAGCGATCCCCGTTGGGACATTACATTTTCTCTGTTCTCGGATGTCTTTGACTCTTGTTACTCTTAAGGAGTCGTTGCCTTGAAGGTTTTCTCCTTCTTCGCCTTCTGCTTTTCTCCCTTTTTTGGACATAATTTTTTTAGATGATGACCCATCTTTCGGCAATGATTCGTCTGGAGGATCTGCTTTACGGGTAGCCTGAAAAAGAGCTCTTTTGATGAACCAACTTCAGCCATCTTCAACAAAAAGGATTTCTTGACTGTCAAGGGCAAAACAATATTTTTTTAAATCAGCAAGCAAACAAGGAAAAACGGGGATTCAGTTCAAACAAAAATATAACAAAAACAGTTAGAAACAAAACGACAAAACAAAATTAAATCAAACAAAAGAAAGTACCGAAACAAAAATCCGTCAATGCTAAACAATAAAACAATAGCTTACTGTAAATGAAAAAAAAAACTCCCGCAAAAAGTTCCAAGTTACAAAAACTTGCCTACGTTACTTAATTCGCCTACTTTTATCTTTTCCTTTCAAGTGTATTACGCCAATTTTCTTCCACGCCACATTAAGAAGCCCCATAAATGTTGGTAAAAAAATAACAGTTACTAGATGTGAGAAACCTATTTTCCTGAAAAATTGTTTTACTAGAAAGATTTTATGAATTTCACCGAAAGGAACACTGGCTGCTCGGTCAGTATATGCCGAATTGCTGTTTATAATGAAACCGCTAATATTAACCATTAGAGATAAAAAAAAATAAGATCAATATTTTGATCCAAATTCAATATTCAATGTGTGGAGAAAGGTATCACCGTCTGCTCGATTAATGAATGCAGAATATTTCCTTATAAGGAATAAAAATATCTGACTACTAAAATGAACAATAGATAATCTTCAATTATTAATATCATCAAGTTAGTCTTTTGTATATCACTACATCAGTCATAACCAAAATTCTCTTTGGAACAAATACATACAATATCCATCTGTTGTAACGATAACACCACTAGCTGATAGTAGTAATGATAATTTTACAAAAATAATAATTTATAAAATAAAATATTTTTAATAATAAATAATATAAATAATGGTAATAATAAATGATGGTAATAATAAATGATAGGAATAATAAATGATGGTAATAATAAATGAAGGGAATGATAAATGATGGTAATAATAAATGATGGTAATAATAAATGATAGGAATAATAAATGATGGTAATAATAAATGAAGGGAATGATAAATGATGGTAATAATAAATGATGGTAATAATAAATGATAGGAATAATAAATGATGGTAATAATAAATGAAGGGAATGATAAATGATGGTAATAATAAATGATGGTAATAATAAATGATAGGAATAATAAATGATGGTAATAATAAATGAAGGGAATGATAAATGATGGTAATAATAAATGATGGTAATAATAAATGATAGGAATAATAAATGATGGTAATAATAAATGAAGGGAATGATAAATGATGGTAATAATAAATGATGGTAATAATAAATGATAGGAATAATAAATGATGGTAATAATAAATGAAGGGAATGATAAATGATGGTAATAATAAATGATGGTAATAATAAATGATAGGAATAATAAATGATGGTAATAATAAATGAAGGGAATGATAAATGATGGTAATAATAAATGATGGTAATAATAAATGATAGGAATAATAAATGATGGTAATAATAAATGAAGGGAATGATAAATGATGGTAATAATAAATGATGGTAATAATAAATGATAGGAATAATAAATGATGGTAATAATAAATGAAGGGAATGATAAATGATGGTAATAATAAATGATGGTAATAATAAATGATAGGAATAATAAAAGATGGTAATAATAAATGAAGGGAATGATAAATGATGGGAATAATAAATGATGGTAATAATAAATGAAGGGAATGATAAATGATGGGAATAATAAATGATGGTAATAATAAATGATGGTAATAATGATATTTGATACACAATCTGAGAAATTTTATTTTCTTCTTACTTGAAAATTTAGAGATGAAAATAATCGCATTTGAAGATATGATGAGTGGAAGGTATGCTAACATTATAAATTTCACCATGTATAACAAAGGTATGGTCACCAACGGAACTAAACAAGACTACATTCCAGATAAAAAAAAAACTTCAAAAGACATAAATACTATCTCAAAGACATTACTACCTTGAACGATAAAAACATCTCAACAAAAGAATTTAACCAATTTACAAAATATAAGAAAATAGGATTAGAAATTGCAGAAAATGCGGCATTTAATTACAAATGCTATTCTTGTAATAATAGGAGCACAAGGAATTATTAAAATGAATACTGATACCCACATTAAGAAAATCTCAGGAACCCATACACTCTCTGAGATATAAAATATTGTACTTATCTAAATTACTCACATGATAAAAAAGAAAAGCTTGGAATGTAATATGCCTAATAAGTTTCTAAGAAAAAGATCTCAGGTAAAATATCAATCAGATAGATCGAAGGAAGGAAGGAAGGAAGGAAGGAAGGAAGGAAGGAAGGAAGGAAGGAAGGAAGGAAGGAAAGTTGACATTCAATTGATACACAAGACTATAACATTAAGATGGATTTGATATGAGTGAAAATGAAAATAATATTCAAAACAATGTGAATGTGTTCAGAACTTCACCGGAAGCTTCCTCATTCAGTAGGGGAAGCAACTTACGAAATTGCCGCCATACAAATATTTATCTGAAAGAAAGAAAGAGGGTGAGCAAGAAAGTCATTCAAGTGATACAAAAAACTATAACATATGAAGGTTGGCATGAATTACCAAAGACTTTTGGATAGAATGATTATTATAATGAAAAGAAAGAAAGAAAGAAAGAAAGAAAGAAAGAAAGAAAGAAAGAAAGAAAGATAAAGTGATACAAAGACATTAAAAGAAGGTTAAAGAAAAGATATTCAAGTGATACAGAAAGACATTAAGTGATATGAAGGTTAGATGAACATGAATTACCAAAGACTTTTGGACAGAATGATTATTATAATGAAAAGAAAGAAAGAAAGAGATTCAAGTGACCCAGAAGACTATAACAGATGAACATGAATCATCAAATACTTTTGGACAGAATGATTATTATAAGGAAAGGAAAGAAAGAAAGAAAAGAGATTCAAGTGACCCAGAAGACTATAAAAGATGAACATGAATCATCAAATACTTTTGGACAAAATGATTATTATAAGGAAAGGAAAGAAAGAAAAGAGATTCAAGTGACCCAGAAGACTATAACAGATGAACATGAATCATCAAATACTTTTGGACAGAATGATTATTATAAGGAAAGGAAAGAAAGAGATTCAAGTGAAGAAGATAACAGATGAACATGAAATCAAATAGAAAAAAAATGATTATATATAAGGAAAGGACCCAGAAGACTATAACAGATGAACATGAATCATCAAATACTTTTGGACAGAATGATTATTATAAGGAAAGGAAAGAAAGAAAGAGATTCAAGTGACCCAGAAGACTATAAAAGATGAACATGAATCATCAAATACTTTTGGACAGAATGATTATTATAAGGAAAGGAAAGAAAGAAAGAGATTCAAGTGACCCAGAAGACTATAACAGATGAACATGAATCATCAAATACTTTTGGACAGAATGATTATTATAAGGAAAGGAAAGAAAGAAAGAGATTCAAGTGACCCAGAAGACTATAACAGATGAACATGAATCATCAAATACTTTTGGACAGAATGATTATTATAAGGAAAGGAAAGAAAGAAAGAGATTCAAGTGACCCAGAAGACTATAACAGATGAACATGAATCATCAAATACTTTTGGACAAAATGATTATTATAAGGAAAGGAAAGAAAGAAAAGATTCAAGTGACCCAGAAGACTATAACAGATGAACATGAATCATCAAATACTTTTTGGACAGAATGATTATTATAAGGAAAGGAAAGAAAGAAAGAGATTCAAGTGACCGAGAAGACTATAACAGATGAACATGAATTATAAAATACTTTTGGACAGAATGATTATTATAAGGAAAGGAAAGAAAGAAAGAGATTCAAGTGACCCAGAAGACTATAACAGATGAACATGAATCATCAAATACTTTTGGACAGAATGATTATTATAAGGAAAGGAAAAAAGAAAGAAAGAGATTCAAGTGACCCAGAAGACTATAACAGATGAACATGAATCATCAAATACTTTTGGACAGAATGATTATTATAAGGAAAGGAAAGAAAGAAAGAGATTCAAGTGACCCAGAAGACTATAACAGATGAACATGAATCATCAAATACTTTTGGACAAAATGATTATTATAAGGAAAGGAAAGGAAAGAAAGAAAGAGATTCAAGTGACCCAGAAGACTATAACAGATGAACATGAATCATCAAATACTTTTGGACAGAATGATTATTATAAGGAAAGGAAAGAAAGAAAGAGATTCAAGTGACCCAGAAGACTATAACAGATGAACATGAATCATCAAATACTTTTGGACAGAATGATTATTATAAGGAAAGGAAAGAAAGAAAGAGATTCAAGTGACCCAGAAGACTATAAAAGATGAACATGAATCATCAAATACTTTTGGACAGAATGATTATTATAAGGAAAAGAAAGAAAGAAAGAAAGAAAGAGATTCAAGTGACCCAGAAGACTATAACAGATGAACATGAATCATCAAATACTTTTGGACAGAATGATTATTATAAGGAAAGGAAAGAAAGAAAGAGATTCAAGTGACCCTGAAGACTATAACAGATGAACATGAATCATCACTTTTGGACAGAATATTATTTGACCCAGAAGACTATAACAGATGAAATGAATCATACTTTTGGACAGAATGAATTATAAGGAAAGGAAAGAAAGAAAAGAGATTCAAGTGACCCAGAAGACTATAACAGATGAACATGAATCATCAAATACTTTTGGACAGAATGATTATTATAAGGAAAGGAAAGAAAGAAAGAGATTCAAGTGACCCAGAAACTATAACAGATGAACATGAATCATCAAATACTTTTGGACAAAATGATTATTATAAGGAAAAAGGAAAGAAAGAAAAGAGATTCAAGTGACCCAGAAGACTATAACAGATGAACATGAATCATCAAATACTTTTGGACAGAATGATTATTATAAGGAAAGGAAAGAAAGAAAGAGATTCAAGTGACCCAGAAGACTATAACAGATGAACATGAATCATCAAATACTTTTGGACAGAATGATTATTATAAGGAAAGGAAAGAAAGAAAGAGATTCAAGTGACCCAGAAGACTATAACAGATGAACATGAATCATCAAATACTTTTGGACAAAATGATTATTATAAGGAAAGGAAAGGAAAGAAAGAAAAGAGATTCAAGTGACCCAGAAGACTATAACAGATGAAACATGAATCATCAAATACTTTTGGACAGAATGATTATTATAAGGAAAGGAAAGAAAGAAAGAGATTCAAGTGACCCAGAAGACTATAACAGATGAACATGAATCATCAAATACTTTTGGACAGAATGATTATTATAAGGAAAGGAAAGAAAGAAAGAGATTCAAGTGACCCAGAAGACTATAAAAGATGAACATGAATCATCAAATACTTTTGGACAGAATGATTATTATAAGGAAAGGAAAGAAAGAAAAGATTCAAGTGACCCAGAAGACTATAACAGATGAACATGAATCATCAAATACTTTTGGACAGAATGATTATTATAAGGAAAGGAAAGAAAGAAAGAGATTCAAGTGACCCAGAAGACTATAACAGATGAACATGAATCATCAAATAGTTTTGGACAAAATGATTATTATAAGGAAAGGAAAGAAAGAAAGAGATTCAAGTGACCCAGAAGACTATAAAAGATGAACATGAATCATCAAATACTTTTGGACAGAATGATTATTATAAGGAAAGGAAAGAAAGAAAGAGATTCAAGTGACCCAGAAGACTATAACAGATGAACATGAATCATCAAATACTTTTGGACAGAATGATTATTATAAGGAAAGGAAAGAAAGAAAAAGAGATTCAAGTGACCCAGAAGACTATAACAGATGAACATGAATCATCAAATACTTTTGGACAGAATGATTATTATAAGGAAAGGAAAGAAAGAAAGAGATTCAAGTGACCCAGAAGACTATAACAGATGAACATGAATCATCAAATACTTTTGGACAGAATGATTATTATAAGGAAAGGAAAGAAAAAAGATTCAAGTGACCCAGAAGACTATAACAGATGAACATGAATCATCAAATACTTTTGGACAAAATGATTATTATAAGGAAAGGAAAGAAAGAAAGAGATTCAAGTGACCCAGAAGACTATAACAGATGAACATGAATCATCAAATACTTTTGGACAGAATGATTATTATAAGGAAAGGAAAGAAAGAAAGAGATTCAAGTGACCCAGAAGACTATAACAGATGAACATGAATCATCAAATACTTTTGGACAGAATGATTATTATAAGGAAAGGAAAGAAAGAAAGAGATTCAAGTGACCCAGAAGACTATAAAAGATGAACATGAATCATCAAATACTTTTGGACAGAATGATTATTATAAGGAAGGAAAAGAAAGAAAGAAAGAGATTCAAGTGACCCAGAAGACTATAACAGATGAACATGAATCATCAAATACTTTGGACAGAATGATTATTATAAGGAAAGGAAAGAAAGAAAGAGATTCAAGTGACCCAGAAGACTATAACAGATGAACATGAATCATCAAATACTTTTGGACAGAATGATTATTATAAGGAAAGGAAAGAAAGAAAAGAGATTCAAGTGACCCAGAAGACTATAACAGATGAACATGAATCATCAAATACTTTTGGACAGAATGATTATTATAAGGAAAGGAAAGAAAGAAAGAGATTCAAGTGACCCAGAAAACTATAACAGATGAACATGAATCATCAAATACTTTTGGACAGAATGATTATTATAAGGAAAGGAAAGAAAGAAAGAGATTCAAGTGACCCAGAAGACTATAACAGATGAACATGAATCATCAAATACTTTTGGACAGAATGATTATTATAAGGAAAAGAAAGAAAGAAAGAAAGAGATTCAAGTGACCCAGAAGACTATAAAAGATGAACATGAATCATCAAATACTTTTGGACAGAATGATTATTATAAGGAAAGGAAAGAAAGAAAGAGATTTGACCCAGAAGACTATAACAGATGAACATGAATCATCAAATACTTTTGGACAGAATGATTATTATAAGGAAAGGAAAGAAAGAAAAGAGATTCAAGTGACCCAGAAGACTATAACAGATGAACATGAATCATCAAATACTTTTGGACAGAATGATTATTATAAGGAAAGGAAAGAAAGAAAGAGATTCAAGTGACCCAGAAGACTATAACAGATGAACATGAATCATCAAATACTTTTGGACAGAATGATTATTATAAGGAAAAGAAAAAGAAAGAAAGAGATTCAAGTGACCCAGAAGACTATAACAGATGAACATGAATCATCAAATACTTTTGGACAGAATGATTATTATAAGGAAAGGAAAGAAAGAAAGAAAGATTCAAGTGACCCAGAAAACTATAACAGATGAACATGAATCATCAAATACTTTTGGACAGAATGATTATTATAAGGAAAGGAAAGAAAGAAAGAGATTCAAGTGACCCAGAAGACTATAACAGATGAACATGAATCATCAAATACTTTTGGACAGAATGATTATTTAGGAAAGGAAAGAAAGAAAGAAAGAAAGACCCAGAAGACTATAAAAGATGAACATGAATCATCAAATACTTTTGGACAGAATGATTATTAGACTATAACAGATAACAGATGAACATGAATCATCAAATACTTTTGGACAGAATGATTATTATAAGGAAAGGAAAGAAAGAAAAGAGATTCAAGTGACCAGAATGATTATAAAGGAAAGGAAAGAAAGAAGACTATAACAGATGAACATGAATCATCAAATACTTTTGGACAGAATGATTATTATAAGGAAAGGAAAGAAAGAAAGAGATTCAAGTGACCCCAGAAGACTATATAAAAGATGAACATGAATCATCAAATACTTTTGGACAGAATGATTATTATAAGGAAAGGAAAGAAAGAAAGAGATTCAAGTGACCCAGAAGACTATAACAGATGAACATGAATCATCAAATACTTTTGGACAGAATGATTATTATAAGGAAAGGAAAGAAAGAAAGAGATTCAAGTGACCCAGAAGACTATAACAGATGAACATGAATCATCAAATACTTTTGGACAGAATGATTATTATAAGGAAAGGAAAGAAAGAAAGAGATTCAAGTGACCCAGAAGACTATAACAGATGAACATGAATCATCAAATACTTTTGGACAGAATGATTATTATAAGGAAAGGAAAGAAAGAAAGAGATTCAAGTGACCCTGAAGACTATAACAGATGAACATGAATCATCAAATACTTTTGGACAGAATGATTATTATAAGGAAAGGAAAGAAAAAAAGAAAAAAGAAAGAAAGAATTAATAAATACTAATCAAACTGTGACATCAAATAAATATTATTTTATTTTTGGTGTCCGGAGACTTGCCCAGCTGAATGATGCTTCATGATAAGAAAAATATTTATATTCAATAATTCAAAGATAAAAATAATTGTTTTTTAATTTATTTACAATCTGGTTTGTAATGATCTTTATAAATATGGGATTGTTTTCTTAATAGCTTATATAATTAAAAGCCATATTCTCTCCTATAAGTGATAACTACGTAAGCATTTATATCATAATTCCTTCCTATTAAATATTATTTAGTTGCTTTTTTAATGTGAAAGCGTAAGTAGTTCTAGCTCAGAAGAGACATGTATAGTTTAGATGCTACAGTCTAAATAGAAAAATATAACGGGCGTACGTGAAATCCAACAGAGAATAATAATTTTTATACTGAAATTCTTGTGAAGTCATGTTTCCAACAAAGGGCAAAAGATGGGATGATCCTGGTTGGAATTTCATTATTATTAACCCAGGGTGTCTCAGGATTAACTCACCAAAACACCTGGCATTGTCAAACGAAAAAAAATTCAACCAAAAAGATGTAGTCTTTACCTGAATTTGGAACGTAATATATATCGATCTCCTTGAGTTAAACATTGCTTAAAAGCTCATTTCCGTACAATCTGGAATCATGGCCCTCACCCCTATGGGAAATATATAAAAATAACATCATGAACAGGCTTTGTCACCTTTCAGTTCTTATTTCCCAACTTCTGTTAATACTTTTTTCGAATATTGTCTTCGAAAAAGAACAGTTAGCTACATAAATCGCATTAAAAAATATCAACCAAATAATTGAATTAGTATTGCTTGTCGGTTAAAAAACTTCACATGCAAATACGAGACAGCATTCAAAATCAGTAGCAAAATAGAAATATTCCTATTAAACACTTCTGTGTATATATATATATATATGTGTGTGTGTGTGTGTGTGTGTGTGTGTGTGTGTGTGTGTGTGAAAATCTATAGAAAATAGGAAAGAACTCGTTAGGAAAATAATCCAAAGTTCATTAGTATTTTAGTTATTATTTTTAAAAAATAGTGCTCGATACAAAAGTAGAGCATAAATATAATTATTTATTTAAAAATATGATTCCAACACGCTACATAAGAGGTCTCATGTTTCAAAACAAGAGCCGAAAACTTCAATATAATTATTTGAATTAAATTGAATTAAAGTAAGCTCTGTTCCATCTTCAAGCCATTTTTTTTTTTTTTTGGACGATCGCTAAAGCGTTGAAACCCAGGGTCACAAACTCACATCTATCCAACCAAATACGTTAGCTCTATCTCTGATATTGAGCGCTTTCTAATAAGTACCGCGCATATAATATATAAATAATTATACATATATATATTTATTTATATTTATATACACACTTTTCACATATATATATATATATATATAGAGATAGATAGATAGATAGATAGATAGATAGATAGATAGATAGATAGATAGAGAATAGATATATATATATATATATATATATATATATATATATATATATATATATATATATATATATATATATAATTCTGTTCATATCTGTATATATTCTAGAAGGTTTCTCGCGCCATCTTGTTTACATCTGTTTAATGACTTGAGCATTTTCCCACATTTATAAAGCAGGCACTCCTGCTCTTCTACAGTTTAAATTGCTTTCATGTAAAAGCTCATTCACCCTTATAGAAGTAATTTCATGTCACACATCTTTGCTTAACGACAACATTCTTCCATTGAATACTGTTATCAGTTCTTTCGAAAAGTGTAGCTGTCTCCGAAGAAGCCTGCAAAAGAAAATCAATATATTTGTGTGAGCAGTCTGGTGGCTAAGATTTAAAAGAAGAATCCATTATATAATATTCAAAAAAGAAATAAGAAATGTCAGCGCGACTACCAGTTTCACGCTTACGTTATCTTCAGGCTGACAATTAATCACTGGGTTGGATATTGTATATCTCCTACAGTATGGAAAAATACCTAATTTAATCAGTGGATAGGTAGCTGAGAAAAGCAAAATCAAACACTGGAATATACGAGGCACTTAAAAAGTGCATGAACGTGAAACTGATAGTCGTGCGTATATTTCTTTTCATTTCGTTAATTACTGATATATTAACTCTGTCTACATGACACTGAGCGCTGTTTTTTAAACAAAATCAACCAAGTATCCAATTTGTTGTTATTATCAAGAAAACTGTTGTATTATTATCTGTTAGCATATATATATATATATATTCATGAATTATTCACACAAAAAAACAAATGCAAAGGTTAATGATTTAATTGGCGAGAAATCCATCGTCGCAAACAATTCAAATAATATACAAAAACCTCCGAATCCGTTATGAATGAAATGATCCTTGTTAATTAAATTTCTGCTGTATTAGTTCTTATTTTTACTACAAGCTTTCGTCTGTTCCTACAGACATCTTCAGGTATGGAATAGATGTTGTTCTTGTTTTTTCTCTTAGTAATAAGAGGAAAACGAAAATATATGTATTGTTGTATCCGAAAATGCTATTGGAAATGAGTTATTGTTTTTGGAGCGCAGTAGCAACGCTGAGTTTGATTTTAAATTTTTACAGTTGTGCGTTCATGTACAAATATGGTGATATACGAATTTTTACTGGTAAATTTTCTGTCAACGTGGCATGAACTATATTGTTCAATAATTTCAGTAATGTCGCACTTATTATCCAAAAGTCGCACTTGGATCAGTTATTTTAATTACAATAAACGTGCAATCAATTTACAAATTCATGAATTATTCACACAAAAAACAAATGCAATATATATATATATATATATATATATATATATATATATATTGTGTGTGTGTGTGTGTGTGTGTGTGTGTGTGTGTGTGTGTGTGTGTGTGTGGACGCAGAATCAAGTATCAAGTTTTTGGGTATGATTAATAAAACTATACTGTTATTATCTATACGCCTCATTATTATATATATATATATATATATATATATATATATATATATATATATATATATATATATATACAGAGACCTGGTGCACCGAATGCCACAAAGTCCACAAACGACCCTCCGCAGGTTTTGAATTCAGAGTTGTCCTTCTCCTAGACCAGTTGCCATCCAAGGCTATAGAACCCAGTCTGTCCTACTATTTTCGTCCCTTCAAAAAGTGTGGATGGTCCTGCACGAGGCCTTCACCACTATAATCAAATCTCATGTGCCGGTGTCGGTTTCCTGGAAACTGATCTGCTTGACCCTCATACGTCGCATCTCGACGGGAGAGTCGACTATATATATAAGAAGAAGAATATTAAATTCTTAGACATAAATGTAAATACTTCATTTATTTTTAAGTATACGATATTAATTATCACCTGACCTGATGGATTTCTATACACACACACACACACACACACACACACACACACACACATATATATATATATATATATATATATATATATATATATATATATATATTCTGCAATTATTCTGAATGGACTCCTTGTTTAAGTTGGTGAATACTGCCATAATCCTTGCCTTTAGTTTATCTTTGATTTTACAAGGAGTTTTGTTGATCTCTCGCTGAATAATAATCAAGGGGGTTGCAGTCTGGGTAGTTAGGTGGCCAAATGTAAGGGGGTGATGGTGTCGCTGAAATTGTCTGACAGACATGACTGCGTTTTACTGCTTGTGTGGCATGGCGCAGAGTCCTGTTGCCAGACATATGGTCTTCGAGCAATCACCCTCGACTATCTCCTCAAGGCACTTGATGTAGACCTCTGCGTGTTGAGTCTGAAATCCCGTTGGAAGATGAATGGAAGTATACATCGCCATCAATAGCGACCACTCTAAGCATCTTCATAATCACCATTAGATTGGACCATCTCTTTCCAGATCCACTGAACTGTCCTCTTATATACACCCATACACTCTGAAATCTTCGTATTGTAAATTCCGGCG